TTCCCAACACCATTTATTAAACAGGGAATCCTTTCCCAATTGCTTGTTTTTGTCAGGTTTGTCAAAGATGAGATGGTTGTAGATGTGTGGCATTATCTCGGAGGGCTCTGTTCTGTTCCACTGGTTTATATCTGTTTTGGTACCAGTACCATGCTGTTTTGATTACTGTAGCCTTATAGTATAGTTTGAAGTCAAGTAGCATGATACCTCCAGCTTTGTTCTTTTTGCTTAGAATTGACTTGGCTATGTAGGCTCTCTTTTGGTTCCATATGAAGTTAGAGCTGGTTTTTTCCAGTTCTGTGAAGAAGGTCATTGGTAGCTTGATGGGGTAGCATTGAATCTATAAATTACTTTGGGCAGTATGGCCATTTTCATGATATTGATTCTTCCTAACCATGAGCATGTAACGTTTCTCCATCTGTTTGTGTTCTCTCTTATTTCATTGAGCAATGGTTTGTATGATAGTTCATTCTTGATTTGGCTCTCTTTAAGCCTGTTATTGGTGTATAGGAATGCTTGTGATTTTTGCACATTGATTTTTGTATCCTGACTTTGCTGAAGTTGCTTATCAGTTTCAGGAGATTTTGGGCTGAGACGATGGGGTCTTCAAGATATGCAATCATGTTGTCTGCAAATATAGACAATTTGACTTCCTCCTTTCCTAACTGAATACCCTTTATTTCTTTTTCTTGCCTGATTGCTCTGGCTAGAATTTCCAATACTATATTGAATAGGAGTGGTGAGAGAGGGCACCCTTGCCTAGTGCCAGATTTCAAAGGGAATGCTTCCAGTTTTTGCCCATTTGGTATGATATTGGCTGTGGGTTTGTCATAAATAGCTTTTATTATTTTGAGATATGTTCCATCAATATCTAGTTTATTGAGAATTTTTAGCATAAAGCGCTGTTGAATTTTGTTGAAGGCCTTCTCTGCATCTATTGAGATAATCATATGGTGTTTGTCTTTGGTTCTGTTTATGTGATGAATTACATTTATAGACTTGCATATGTTAAACCAGCCTTACATCCCTGGGATGAAGCCTACTGGATCATGGTGGATAAGCTTTTTGATGTGCTGTTGCAATCAGTTTGTCAGTATTGCATTGAAGACTTCTGCATCTGTGTTCATCACGGATACTGGCCTGATGTTTTCTTTTCTTGTTGAGTCTCTGCCGGGTTTTGGTATCAGGATGATGTTGGTCTCATAAAATGATTTGGGAAGGATTCCCTCTTTTTGGATTGTTTGGAACAGTTTCAGAAAGAGTGGTACCAGCTCCTCTTTGTATGTCTGGTAGAATTCGGCTGTGAATTCATCTGTACCTGCGCTTTTTTTGGTTATTAGGCTATTAACTGCTCTCTCAACTTCAGCTCTTATAATTGGTCTATTTAGGATTTTGACTTCTTCCTGGTTTAGGCTTGGGAGGGTGAAAGTTTCCAGGAATTTATCCGTTTCTTCCAGGTTTACTGGTTTATGTGCACAGAGTTGTTTGTAGTAATCTCTGATGGTTTGTATTTCTGTGGAATCTGTGGTGATATCCCCTTTATCATTTTTTATTGCATCTATTTGGTTATTCTCTCTTTCTTTATTAATCTGGCTAGTAGTCTATTTTGTTGATCTTTTCAAAAAACCCACTCCTGGATTGATTGATTTTTTTGAAGGGTTTTTTGTGTGTGTGTCTCTATCTCCTTCAGTTCTGCTCTGATCTTACTTATTTCTTGTCTTCTGCTAGTTTTGAGTTGTTTTGATCTTGTTCCTCTAGCTTTTTCAATTATGATGACAGGGTGTTTATTTTAGATCTTTCCTTACTTCTCATGTGGGCACTTATTGCTATAAATTGTCCTCTAGACACTACTTTAAATGTGTCCCAGAGATTCTGGTACGTTGTGTCTTTGTTCTCATTGGTTTCAAAGAACATCTTTATTTCTGCCTTCATTTCACTGTTTCTCCAGTCAACATTCAAGTGCCAGTTGTTCAGTTTCCATGAAGTTCTGCAGTTCTGAGTTAGTTTCTGAATTCTGAGTTCTAATTTGATTGCACTGTGGTCTGAGAGACTGTTTATTATGATTTCTGTTCTTTTGCATTTGCTGAGGAGTGATTTACTTCCAATTATGTGGTCAATTTTCGAGTAGGTGTGAGTTGGTGCTGAGAAGATTGTATATTCTGTCAATTTCGTGTGGAGAGTTCTGTGCATGTCTATTAGGTTTGCTTGGTCCAAGTCTGAGTTCAAGTCCTGGATATCCTTGGTAATCTTCTGTCTCGTTGATCTGTCTAATACTGACAGTGGAGTGTTAACATCTCCCACTATTATTGTGTGGGAGTCTAAGTCTCTTTGTAGGTCATTTAGAACTTGCTGTATGTAACTGTGTGCTCCTGTATTGGAGGATCATTAGCTCTTCTTGTTGCATTGATCCTTTTACCATTATGTCATGCCCTTCATTGTCTCTCTGGATCTTTGTTGGTTTAAAGTCTATTTTATCAGAGACTAGGATTACAACTCATGCCTTTTTTTGCTATTTCCTTGGTAATCTTCCTCCATCCCTTTATTTTGAGCCTATGTGTATCCCTGCATGTGAGATGGGTTTCCTGGATACAGTACACCAATGGTTTTTGACTTTTTATCCAATTTGCTAGTCTGTGTCTTTTGATTGGGGCATTTAGCCCATTTATATTTAATGTTATATTGTTATGTGTGAATTTGATCCTGCCACTTTGATGCTAGCTGGTTGTTTTGCCTATTAGTTGACATGGCTTCTTCATTGTGTCGATGCTCTTTACTATTTGGTAAGTTTTTGAGTGGCTGGTACTGATTGTTCCTTTCTATGTTTAGTGCTTATTTCAGGAGCTCTTATAAAACAGGCCTAGTAGTGATAAAATTCTCTGAGCAACTGCTTGTTCGTAAAGGATTTTATTTCTCCTTCACTTATGAAACTTAGTTTGATTGGAAATGAAATTCTAGGTTGAAAGTTCTTTTTTTTAATGATGTTGAATATTGGCCCCCACTCTCTTCTGGCTTGTAGTGTTCCTGCTAAGAGATCCACTGTGAGTCTGATGGGTTTCCCTTTGTGGGTAACCCGACCTTTCTCTCTGGCTGTCCTTGGCATTTTTTCCTTCATTTCAACTCTGATGAATCTGACTATTATGTGCCTTGGGGTTGCTTTTGTTGAGGAATATCTTTGTGGTGTTCTCTGTATTTCCTGGACTTGAATATTGGCCTGCCTTGCTTGGTTTGGGAAGTTCTCCTGGATAATATCCTGAAGAGTGTTTTCCACCTTGGATTCATTCTCTCTGTCACATTCAGGTACCTATCAGACACAGGTTAGGTCTTTTCACATAATCTCACATTTCTTGGAGGCTTTGTCCATTTCTTTTTACTCTTTCTTCTCTAATCTTGCCTTTCCATTTTATTTCATTGAGTTGATCTTCAATCTCTGAGATCCTTTCTTCTGTTTGGTCAATTTGGCTATTGAAACTTGTGTATGCTTTGCAAAGTTCTCATGTTGTGTTTTTCAGCTCCCTCGATTCATTTATATTCCTCTTTAAGCTGTTTATTCTTGTTACCAATTCATTAAACCTTTTTCAAGGTTCTTCGTTTCTTTGCATTGGTTTAGAACATACTCTTTTAGCTCAGAGAAGTTTGTTATTACCCACCTTCTGAAGCCTGTTTCTGTCAATTCATCTGACTCATTCTCCATCCAGCCTTGTCCCCTTGCTGGTGAGGAGTTGGGATCCTTTGGAAGAGGAGAGGTGTTCTGGTTTTGGGTGTTTTCATCCTTTTTGTGCTGGTTTCTTCCCATCTTTGTGGATTTATCTACCTGTGGTCTTTGTAGTTGGTGACTTTCAGATAGGGGTCTCTGAGTGGACATGCTTTTTGTTGATGATGAAGTTATTTCTTTCTGTTTCTTAGTTTTCCTTCTAACAGGCCCCTCTGCTATATGACTGCTGGAGGTCCACTCCAGACCCTCCATGACTTGGGATCACCTGCAGTGGCTACAGAACAGTAAGGGTTGCTGCCAGTTTCTTTTTCTGTTATCTTTGTCCCAGAAGGATACCTGCCAGATGTCAGCCTGAGCTCTCCTTTATGAGGTGTCTCTTTAGATATATGGGGCACTGGGGAGCTGCCTGAGGAGACAGTCCGTCCCTCATAGGAGCTCAAGTGCTGATCTGTGAGCTCCGCTGTTCCGTTCAGAGCTGCTGGGCAGGTATGTTTAAGTCTGCTGCAGTGGAACTCATAATCGCCTTTTTCCCCAGGTGCTCTGTCCTGGGATGCTGAGGCTTTATTTATATGTGCCTGTTGTGCTGCTGCTTTTTTTTAGAGATGTCCTGCCCAGCAAGGAGGTAACCTAGTCACAGTCTGCCAGCAGAGGCGTTGTTGGGCTGCCGTGGGCTCTGCCCAGCGGCTGTGTGAACTTCCTTGCAGTTTTGTTTACAGGGGTATAGTCAGAACTGCCTCAGTAATGGTGGTCTGCCTCAGTAGTGGTGGAGTGTCTCTGTAATGGCGGACGGCCTCAGTAATGGCAGACTGCCTCAGTAGTGGTGGACTGTCTCGGTAATAGTGGATGCCCTTCCCCCAACAGAGCTGGACTGTCCCAGGACCAGTTGTGCTTGCTCTGAAACTCTCAATCCAGAACATTTCAGATTGCTGGTCTTTGTGGGGGTGGAACCAGCAAAGTCAGTTCATCTGGCTCCCTGTTTCAGTCCCCTTTTTTTCAGTTGAATGGGCAACTCTGTCTCCCAGGCATTCCAGTTGCCAGTTGAAACAGCGCTCAGATTTGTGTGAGTTTTTGTGCAGAGACCCGCTGTACCAGCTGTGCCACATTGGATACTCACAGCGCTTCTCCACCCAGGAATCTCCTGGTTGGTGGATAGTAAAAATTCGTTTGGAAATGCGGTGATCACTCACCCTCTGCATTTTCACTGGGAACTGCAATCCAGAGCTGTTCCTATTCAGCCATCTTGGATCCTCCCTACTGGCTGCATTTTTAAAAGCCTGGTTCTGCTTAAAGAATTACTTTAGTAACAATGAAAGACGTATGTTTTCATGTAATTTGCCTGGTTATACTTGCAGAGTACTCCATAAAGATAGTATCTGGAAAAAATTTTAAAACAACAAAAGTTTTGTACAATCTATGGCTTTTACTTTTTATTACCAATATACAAAGCACATTAAAAATATTCATTTTTACTCTACCTTCTCTGTCTTCCTATTTCCATATGCTTTAAGTAGGAAAAAAAAAAGGCAAGGCAACAAAATAAATTCCATCCACTATACTGAAGGCTGACATTTCAATGTCTCATTTGTAAAGGGTCAGTAGTAAAAGTCATTATCAAAAGAAGGAAAATTACTGTCACTTAAGTACCTCCTTAGTTCATAAGTGTTTTCCCACAAAGAAGAAGTACATGTAAGGTACGTATGACTACAGAAATGAGTTATTTTTTTCTTTTCATAAACTTTTCTGCTTCTTTAAAAAGCTCTTCCATGTCTTCCTTCTCTTCATCTTCTTTTCCTGGTTCCCAGTCAGAATCTTCATCTGTTGGCTCATAGTCTTCTTCCTCATCATCTAGAAAGCGGTCATTCAGGTCATACTCATTGCGTTCCTCAACATTATCATTATCTTCATCTAAAACATTTCTCACTGAAAAACAGAAGACTGGTACACAACACAGCAATCACCACTCAACCTGGGATGATAGACATCTAACTATAACATGTTTTCCTGCATCCAGAAAATTAATTTTACTAATGTATAGCTTACCACTACAAATTTCTGAAGGGCACTAAAATGATGCATTGTTATTTATTATCCTAACTTTACCTACCATGAGGCTCCTGAAACTAAAATGGCCCATGAGATTATTAACAACGGTTCCTTAATATCATAATCATATTCACAACATCACATCTTCCCATGTGGCCCCTCATTGGAAGAGGAAACAGCTTTAGGATGATAATGACCCCTCAAAAGACAGAATGAGAAAAAAAAAATTGGGTCCTTGGGAACACTATTGACATTATTAATGAGCCAAAGCAATATAGCTTATCTAAATCCAGCCCTAGCTCTGGACATTTTAGTTATAGAAGCCAATTATCATTTAGGCCAGTTTGAGATTTTTGTTTTCAGGTACTTGCAAACAAAAGAATCCTAAGAGATACAAGGGCAAATATATATTGTGGACAATGGGGAAAGCACTTACTATATAAAAGGTTCACAGTTGTGTGTGTGTTTTTTTTTAATATAAGAAAAATTATTAAAATCAGCAATTCAACAAATTCACAGCAGAGATTTTTTAAAAATTTTTCATAATAACTGAAAACTGTATCTAGGTTTAATGAGAGAATCATTTAAAGTTTTCATTTTGAGTTTCCTGAAGTAAAATTACTTACTTGGAAGTATACTATGTCTGTATTCTATCTTGTGCTGGGGATTCTTCCTGAAAGAAGAATGCAAAAATAAGAGCTAGTCTTCCAATTACTAAAAATTGATGACTATTTACACTAAACTACAATACTGACTAACTTACAAATAAACTTAGGACCCAATACGCCTCTTATGAAAAAGCATTTGTTGTTTAATTACGATATTTCCTTTGTGCCTACGCCATGCCAAGTGCATTTCTAGGTGCAAAGATAGAGTGATGAACAAGACAAAGTTCTTATCTCAAGAACTTACACTCCAGAAAGATGGAAAAGACAAAATATGTATTTCCAAAATATATACTTTTAAACTGTGATGTATCACACATATAAAAATATAATATAAAATAGAATCCAAAACTCATGACACAAATATCAAATATGTATATAAGTATGTGTGTGTGTACAGTATTTAAAAATTCTAAGGCTCTCCTTGAATCTAAAGAAAACAGTATTCTCTCAAAAGAACACCAATCATTTGTTATGAAAAAAACATAAAAGTTAATTTTGTTGAGAAATTCAGGTAACATATTCTGAAGTCAAACAGGAATTAGTGTTTAAAGATCTATTTTTAATTATATGTACTTATGATACCTTCTGTTATTTTGTTAGTTAAACAAAAGTTTGGACACCCTATATGTACAAGACATTCTCCAAATGTCCCAGCAGTAAAATCTAAGTCAACGGGTTCATCATGACCAAACTGACTGATATCCCTCCCTCAGAAAACTGACAAAGCAGGGCTGGAGTACACTAACAATAGATAGGTGCTGAGGTGACAAGTTTTGAATATGCCTGTGTCAGAAGTGATTATTTTTACGTAACAAATATTCATTTGTTCCTTCAGCAAGTATTGGCTGAATATTTCACTATATTCTGGCTCTAAACAGGCACTGAGGATGAAATATTTAACCAGATACACATTCTTGCCCCTAAAAGACACAGTCTCGGGGCAGGAGCAAGACACCCATTAAGGAAGCATTTTCTTCATTGAAAAATAAGAATATCTTCTGTGAAGATAGGAAATACTCATTATAATATATCTTTTAAGACACAGAAACTAAGTCAAGCCTTAAATCTTCTCTGTCTCAGGTTAAATAACATTTGTTCTTCCTTTTTTTTTCTTTTCAATAGGGCAAATAAAGCAATTTTTTAAAAAAATTGTATAACTTAGGTAAAATATCACTTTAATTTTTTCTATAAGTCTTCCCATTCAACTTTATAATTCCACATCTACTGCAACAGAGAAAAATGGCCAGTTTCAGGAAGTGGCTCTCTAGCCCTGAACCTAGTCTGTGAGTCATAGAATGTAAGTATGTACAAAGGATGATCTCAGAGTAGCTACTCCACCTCCTCCAGGTGACAGATGAGCAATGTGAGCCTAAGGAGATGAAGTTCATGCCCAGGGTTTGTGCTTTCCAACTTGGGTAATGATCATATTAAGACAGAGGTTCAGGCAAAATTATGAATTAAATTCTTATCTCTGCAATAATCAGGGGGTTAAATGTTCCACTTATAAATTCCTGTATGCGTCTATTGTAAAAAAAAAAAAAAAAAAAAAGTATCCAACTGCTCTTTTTCATCATTTAAAAAAGTATACACTGTTTTTAAAATATTTTAAAATAAAAATTATACTTTAAAAATATTGTATTTTTTTCTCTGTGCCTTTGACACTATTGTGATATTAGAAACAAAGGAAAATAAATACTTTCTAATCACAAAGAACCACCTGCTTGAAAAATATTTGTTTTCTTGTTTCCAGCATTGCCTGCTATCTTATATTTGCTCCAAATACTGACTTCCTTTATCTATCTATCTATCTATCTATCTATCTATCTATCTATCCATCTTAGAGACAGATCTCACTCTGTTACTCAGGCTAGAGTGCAGGGCACAATTATAGCTCACTGCAGCCTCAAACTCCTAAGCTCAGGTGTTCCTCCCACCTCAGCCTCTTGAGTACAGCTAGGACTGCAGGTATGAGTCACTGAGCCCATCCTAATTTCCTGTATCTCCATCATAATCCGTTGGGCAATAGGAAGTAATTATAAATACATAAATTTAAATTACTTGATAAAACCAAGAAAAATAGTGTTACTGCTTTTAAAAGCTGTGGTAATCATGAAATCTATTTTACAAGATAGGTTTTAACTAGTGTTACTTTCAAGAGTTTCAACTGATAACCCTGGAGTCTGTAATGCTATCCAACAGAATTTTTTATAATGAGGGAAATTTGCTCTGTGTTGTCCAATATAGAGCCACTAACTGTATGTGACTGTTAAGCCCTTGAAATATGGGTAACATAGCTCAGGAAATGAATTCTAAATTTTATTTACTTAATTCAGATTTAAATGTAAACAGCCACATGTGGCTAGTGGCTATCATACTGGGTAACAGTTTTATTTCAAAAATGAAGAAAAGGGAGATCCTCTCTCCCCAGCCAATATTAATTACAATTAATCCTCTCAAAACCAACAAACAAACACCCTCTTTCTTATGAAGTAACCCTCAAACAGGGCAAACATTTTATAGATAGAAATGGCATTATTGAAAATATGAGGTCAGTGACTATAGTCAGAAAGACATTAGAATCCTAACTCAGCCACCTCCCTGTATGTTGCCTAAGTTTCAGTTTTCCCATTTGTAAAAGGGGGATAACAACAGAACCCATACTCACATGAAGCTGTTTTGAGGATTCATGAGATAAAAAACAATAAGTCTTTAATCTAAGGGCTTGGCAGGTGATAAGTACAGAATGTTAGCCTTTGATCCATTCATTATTAGTTTAAGAAACAGTCACAGAATACTTATTACATGTCAGGCCTTGTGTCAGGTGTGACACTCATCCCTAATGTCTCTTCTTTTCCTACAATGTGAGCATTAAACACAGTGCAAAAGTGTAACTGCACAGTTAATTAAGGTCCTAATTCAACAGCTTTGAAAAGTGGAAAAAAGATTCTATACAAGATTGTGTGTTTAGCATGATTAACCCAAATTTGACCTTTCAATGAAAAAGAAATTCAAACTAAAGACAAAACAAAACAAAAACTGGACAGTTTAGCTGTGATGAAGACAGTTGCTAATGAACAAAGCTATGGCGATGATTTGTGGGAAGATCTTGCCTACTGACCATGCTACTGCAGGTCACTGACTTAAGTTCAGTCTTTATTAAAGTATAATTAATGCTGGGCATCAGGAACAGAGAAAGGTAACAATGGGGAACATTAATACCAAAGATATTCTTCATCTTTACTTTAGAAAAAAAGTTACTGGCTGGGCATGGTGGCTTGTGCCTGTAATCCCAGCACTTTGGGAGGCCGAGGTGGGTGGATTATTTGAGGTCAGGAGTTCAAGACCAGTCTAACCAACATGGTGAAACCCCATCTCTACTAAAAATTCAAAAAAGTTAGCCAGGCATGGTAGCGTATGCCTGTAATCCCAGCTACTCAGGAGGCTGAGGCAGAAGAATCACGTGAGCCCAGGAGGAGGAGGTTGCAGTGAGCCGAGATCATGCCATTGCACTCCAGCCTAGGTGACGGAGCAAGACTCCATCTCAAAAAAAAAAAAAAAAAAAAAAAAAGGTTACTAGTCATTTGGAATTCTTTTCAGTAACATTTTATTTTGAAAAAATTTCACACCTACTTTAAAAAGCAGGTAAGACACTGAAATTCCACATAACTTCATCAAGCTTTTTCAAGTGTTAACATTCTACATGGGTGTCTTATTGTTATCCATCTATAATCATTTCAGGTTAAGGCTTTTTCTCCTTCTTTTAATATATGTTTGCTTCAGGTACCAAGCAGTCCTCTTTTCCTGCTTTGCCCTTAAGAGTTAAGTAGGATTATTGAAAAGGTAAAATGTAGCCTTAATTGTTTGCTACTAGAGCCTCCTTCAATGCTGCTTTAGAAATGCTCAAGTAACTAAACGTCAGGCTTTTTAAAAAAAAAAAAAAAAATAGGACAGTAATGAAACCTAAGGAGTTAAGAGACTCAAGCATGGGTTAAGCACCAAATACTGATTGAAAGACTGCTAACATCTAGTTGTCAGGCTAGAAGGATTAAAAAGGAGAGCAACTTTTTAAAAAGAGAAAGTAAAGGCAGGGTATCGCAAAGTGGGAGAGTGGGGTTCAACCTTAAAGTTTCAGAAGGTAGTTCCCAGTCTCTGTTATCTTGGAACACATTCACAGTTGCACTCACATGCACCATCTACATCCTCCAGCCTCCTACTTAGGAAACAGCAAGCCATTTCAGAATAAATGAACAAATAACTATGAAAGAAGAGTTACATTTAATTATTCCAAAAAGGAAGAGCAGAAAATGCAATGTGAAATTTTATATTTAAAAATGGGAAAAAAAAATTCAGGCCCACATACAGGTTTTCATCTGCCTTAGAAGGTAAAAGTTGTTTCTTTGAGGATCTTTCATCCTTTCCTAGAACTTGCTCTTTTCATAAAGACAGGTAAAAGACAGTAATGCAGAACAGAAGAAACTAGCTGAGGTGGTGTTTTTCAAATGGACACTGACCCTCCAACCTAAAGCAAAAGAATTAATATCAATAAAATTTTGCTAGCTATTTCACTGAAAATGAAGGAAAAGAATATCTATGATAGGCCCAAAAGTTTCCTGTTGGGGTATTTATTTTCCTTGATGACAAACAGAACTCACAGAATAGATGGACTTTAACAAGAAAATGAGCCCAAACAGAAAAGATAGTTTATCACATACAAAAGCATACACTCAAAAACAAATTTTAGATATATTTGGTTTACATAAAAATTTAAATGCTAAATTGAGTCTTCTGAATGCTAAATTCTTAAATTATCTTTTCTTCAAGGTCGTTCATAATCTCAGTGTTACTCGTTATTAGCAGCTCAATCTTTTGTTTCCACTCTTGGGGAGTACGTTGTGATTCTTCCCCATTGACAGGAATTTGTTCATAGCTTTTTTAGAAAGTATATTCTTCTACTCTGTACTACTACCTAAGTTCAAATCAAATCTCTTTCATGAAAGTAACTTTG